CCAAGGAGTTATTCTTTTTTTCAAATGTAAGTCTGTTTTTGGAATGCAATTATTACATGCTTCAGATAAATACAACAAAAGGGTATCGTACATTTTTTGAACTGAAATTTTCTCAAAGCAATTATTCCAGATTTCATTAATAATTTTTGATATTGAGTCATAACTTTCTTTACTGTAATCAAAGGTGTATTTCAGTTTCACTTTAATTGAGTCTTTTGTAGCATATTTGAAAATTATCATTAAATTGCCTTATTCTAAATTTTCAAGAATAGCACTTGTTTCTAAAACAAAAACATTTTCTTCATAGTAAAAATCAAATCTAAGGTGTTTTTAACTTACTCCTTGTGTATTTGAAATGTAGTAACAGACACATGTTGTATAAGTCACTAATAAGGGATGTGAATTTTTTTTTTCAAGTGACCCCCCTATAACTATTGGTGGAGTAATTACCTAAAACTCAAAAAAACATAAAAATAAACTATATAAACACAAAAAACCCTCTGCACAAATTCATTATAAAGTATTGTCAAAAGTTTGAAAATTTGCTTAAATAACTCATATTGTTTAACTAATACATATATTGTGTATATTTTAATATAATCTGTGTTTTAGATGTATAAGATATCAGAAAATAATTGGACAAATCGGTCGCCCTTCCAATACTTTAAAGCCAAGAAATTGTATAAATAGAAATTTGATTGAGAAGTCACTGGTGGATTTTTTTTTTTTAGTTATGTAAGACAAAACAGATATTAGGAAGATATCATTTCCTTTTAGAATTAGGTAACATTCCTAGATCAAGTGATGTTATTAAAGAAATCTTAATTGAAGTTTGTCAATTATGGAATAAAATGACAATACCATGCTTTGCGGAAAAATTTGTGCAAAGAAAAGTCTGTGCAAAGTTAAATCTGCTTTTCAAAATTATAAATTTTTTATTAAATCTTTACAGAGTACAAATAAGAAGACAATTATTATAAATAGTTGGCATAAATTATTTGACTTATTGCCCTAAAATGCTAAATTTAAAAATTTGGAAGACAAACTCTTTTATAAACCTCAGAAATCTTCCAATAGGTGCAAAGGTCAGTATTATGACATGCGAGACCTGCCACCTAAAAGAAAAGAACTTGAAACAAATTATAGTCAATCGTTTGATGATACAGAGAATTCTAGTAATGAAAGTTCAGAAGATAATAGTACAAGTGATGATTAGACAATTCCATTTAAATCTGAAAAGATTAACGGTAAAATGGTAGCTAAGATATCTGTAAATGAAGGGTATCCAATATGTTGTACAGCAAAAATTGCAGAACCTGTACTTAATGCAGTTTGTGAGACATCGATTTGCAGATCAGCAGTCTAAAAAGCATCTACAACACTTGTGCATGAATTAAGCTTGATTCGGACTCTTCTGAAGAAATGTGGTGCTTACATTTTAATGGTAAGAGCATAGACAAACAACATTATCATGGCACTTGCATTTTGAGCAAGTCTAAATCTTTGGTTACATCTTTGAAAAAATTAGAGAAAGGCAACTCTGTTTTTATTTATAACATGTTACACTATTATTTTGGAATTTAATTTATTAAATAAAGTTTCTGTTGTAATATGTGACACTACTGCAGTAAATACAGGTTCTGGAGTAATTAAGCGTTTGATAAAAATTGTTCCAGGTTTAGTGTATCATCTTTGTCCACTTCATGTTTTTGACCTGATTCTTAAGCATTTTATGAAAGTTTAATTCCTTATCAACATCACATCGCCTAATATTAATTACTGGTTCATTATTGAGTTAATTAATAACTACCATAATTTAATTAAAAAATACAAGCCTAACGGGCCAGTTATTAGTAAAGGATACAAGTCTTATCAAGACACAATGTAATTACCATGGATTCATTTTTCTAAACCATGGCTTATTCAAATGTACAATGGAATTCAAGAGCTATCTATTGCTTGATATATATGCTTTTGACTCGGACAAAAAAAGAATCAATAATAGAGGCGTGCAGTTTTATTGTAAATCACTGGGCCAAGCCGTGGTTCTCTTGCAGAAGAAATGTTGATGATATAATGAAGTTAAAATTGGCGTTAACTGGTAATTGCCTATAACGTTTGGAAAGACAAACATTTATTATTAACAACTGTTATATTTGGAATTATTGTTCATTAGACATTGAATACACAAATAAAGTGTGCCAAAGGTCTCTTGTGAAAGTTAAATTATTTCTTCAAAGAAACGCATCGACTTTTCTCATTTTTTTTCATTGAGGCCGAATTTCTGAGATACTGTGATAAACTTTAATCTGCCATGTGTGTTATTGTAATAAAATAATTTAATGTTTTAACTATATTTACTTCCATGACGCAACTTTCAAAGACTTATGACTAAAAATTTAGAACTCAACAAACAATATCTTTACCCTAAGTTACATAGATTTTTATCCGTAGTTTGTAAGCATGGAGGTTAGCCACGCTAGACAATTTGCAGGACCTGCCGATTTAGGGTGTTTTTCAAATTTAGGTTGTTTTTTTCCAAATGTAAGGGATTTTTTTTGTAATAAACCTAGTAATGGAAGGTTTTTAAGATTTTAACACCCTAATGACAAGTTGGAGGGAAGGGGGCTCTGACCCTCT